AATACGCCCACGGTAATCCCTGCCTGTCGTAAGAGGCGACTAAAAGGGACTGTTGGGATCGCGGGACTGTGGCACCCGCGGTCCGGTGGGGGGGGAGCTCTCGCTTCCCCCACCACAGAGAGGGCGCTCCGCCGTCCACTGGCGGAGCGGGCGCTGGGGAGGTACCGGTTGTGTTCGCAAGAGATCCCGGTCCCTCCCCGCATAGCGCCGAGCCCGGCCACCGCGAGGGTTTAGTGGGTATTTCCCCTGGGCCTTGCCCTATTGGGGATGAGTCCCACACTTCCCCCGCCCCACTCCTCCCACATTGGAGGATGGCGGGGGTGTGCGTAAATGCATTCCCTCACGTAAAAAAAAAAAAGAAAAAAAAAAAGGACACCGTGTATATGTTGAAGGTAATTACCTGACCGCCGACCATCCCTTGACGAAGTCTGACCAGGTCAGTCTGGCTCCACGCGCTCTTGCTCCACGGCGCGACTTGCCGTAGGTCCTTGTCGAAGTCGAACTCGGCCAGCTGATTGTGAACGAAGTTTCGTATGTTCCAGGGTAGGTCATTGTGGCCGTCGATCAAAGGCACCTCAGAAAGAACCTGTCGCACGGTCTCCAACCTTTCCCGTGGCGACGTCAGGTGTGCAATCTCGCCATCGGCCGGTCGTGGACCAACTTTGTCGACCCAGCTTCCAATTAACAGTATGAACATAGTTGCTATCCGGACACCGCTCTGACCGCCACTCTGAAACATCGATAATTCACGAGTCAGCCTGGAATTACTGAATTGTATTTCTGTTCAATGTAGATACATATGTATGTTATGCTTTTCGGAAAACTTTCAGCTATAAATTACATTGTCAGGGATGGGTTTGAAACGAAGTTGGTTGACGAGTTCGCCTTAAAAATGTTTCCACTCGACTCAATGATCGAGATGCGAGTGAAATCTTGTCCATTTAGGAGTTTACTCAACAAAGATTAAGTCATTTTGTAGATAAAAATAACACTTATCACATTTTTATCTGACTTTTATATATTTTGTTGAAAGACTGATCTTTGCACTTTCAACTGTTGCTAAAACGTTCATTGTTTTTCTTGCTCAACGATACAAAACAACGCATGCATATAGAATAGTAAAACGTAAGTTTGTAACAGAAGAGATTGTCAGTGCTTGGTATTTGACCTATTGGTATTAAACCTAATTCTATGTTTATACTTAATTCTCCGTAGGTAATGTGAATCGACGACCCAAGCGAAATTTCATTTTTCCCAGACATTCCTCCGAATTTTCATTTTGATTGAAAAACACTTTAAATATTTGACTTAAAGAACTATTGTATAATGTAATAGAGACTTTGATAAATACTCCAGGTACTTCACAAATTTGTTGAAAGCTTAAAACAGGAAAAAAAAGTAGACTTGATAGTTTGCCTACGGAGTGTGAAACAAATATGTTTGCCTATGGAGGATTAATGTTAGTTTATATGGTTTATATTATGAGATTCTTTTATTCAATATAAATCAGATTTATAACCACAATCAGTCTAACTGAATGTCGTCCTCAATCCAACATCATATTGCAAAACTGTTTCTCTTTTTCGGTTTCTCCTAGTCAGTAAGTCCAATAAAGTCAGGCAATTTATATTCTTGTTAACTCACGTGGGTAATGAGTTGGAACTGTAATTCGCCGTATCTGCTTCATCAGAAGTTTGGTTATCTAGAGATCGCAACAATCTCGAGTCATACCTGGTTAAATCCTCCACTCATCCAACCAAGAATGTACTTTGTCCAAAAACCTGCTTGACTATGAACTCTCGAAAGTCAAAGCCCAATTTAACCGATGACGGTTCGTGAGTGGATGTACCTATATTGCGACGTTACACGCATCAACAACTTTCAATGAAACTCCTGTGCACAGAAGAAATACGCCTGCTTTGATATTATTCCTTACGCGTAGATATTAGGGTCCTGTGATAATCCTCCTCGTGTTTCACATTAACTCACAGATGTCCTCTGTGCTATCCTGCTATTCCGAAGGGAGAGGCGAAAGCGTGATGAGCAGTCGAAGAGGACGGGGGCGAGGCACGATGCGACGCTTTGATGCTCCTCGGACAGAAATAATTTACTGTTTCGTCCTGTGAGTTGCAAATGCTGCAGGCGCACCCGGCGACTGTTATCACGAGACTGAAGGGTCTGAATAGTTTATGATCTTCGTCAAGGAGCACCACAGTAAATTCCTTTCGAGGAACGGTTGTTCGGGTAAAGGAGTTCGGTTTTCAAAGAGCGTCATATTCTCTCATGTCAATTTTCATTGACGTGATTCGTTTTGCTTGGAAACTTCTTTCCTTGGAAAGCTGGTTTAAATAGTTAGATGTACAAGAAAGTGATAACGGACATGGCAGTAAAAAGGTAACGAACATTGTCAAATATTATAACTAAAAATGATAGAATGCAAATATAGACGACACAGCACATAACGCATCTAACGTAAATGATACCAGATTGGGGGAAGTCGATGTAAACCATATCGGGGTAGAAGCTTTCGATATAGACGATGTAGGTCACTTGCATATGTGTCAATATACATCACACCGGATTCGTGGTAGTAGATGCCATCGATATTCAGACAGAAAAGCCGTTTCAAATTACGTTTTACGCAGTAGAGATGTTACCGTTCTACTATATCAGACGTAAAGTACATGCGTAGGTGTCATAGACTACATCAGACGCGATATACCGGCTACAGATTATATTACAATATATGTGCACGAAACACTGGGTAGAAATAGTAGCAGATCGGAAAGACTTGGTACAGGCGGTATTAGATTCGAAAGACCAGATACTGGCAATACTAGACTCGAAAAATTCGTTACAGACGGTACCAGATCTGACAGATTCAATACAGTCACTATTTGGGGTCTCAGGAATCCTACGTATCTCGATATACGTATCGCTATAGTGGGAGTTTTGAGAGCCACCTAGACTCATCATCACTCGGACTATTCAGGTCTGGAGATTTGGAAGGACTTGGAGGCCTCAAGTGTCCCCAGGAGGCCTTGCTTGGGTTAGGTCCAATGCAGTCGCTGCCTGGGTCCGAGGAATTTCATGTGTCTCGAAAGCTACAGAGTTTCCAGGGGTCTCTAAGATCTCAGAGGGCTGGAAGAACCCGTGAGTCTTAACCGACACTTAAACACACCACTCGGGCCACGCGTATCAGATGTCTTGGATGTCTTGGTGGAGCTACAGAGGTTTCTCATGTCACGTACTGTCCACATCAGGTGTTTCTAGGATATTATCGCTATTGAACATCTGCAGCCTCATACCATTTGCATCGAGTCTTTTAGGTCCGTATCAAGATTTTTTGGTTCAGTACTATTTGTACAAATTACTTTGGGCTTGTTCTGTACTTAGTTTCTACGGCCTGGTACTGTCTGTAACAGGTCTTTCCGCTCTGGTATTATTTATATCAAGTGTATCGGGTCTGGAACCGTCTGAATCTGGCCTGGTAGCGTTCGATTCGGTTTGTTAGATCTAGTACCGCCTTATCTCCTATATTACTTATTAGTGATCCTGAATGATATGCAGGGTCTATTAGATGTTCCGTATCGTTGTTGTTACATTTTTCATCTTCCATTGCCTTTAACCTATATTTTCAGAAAATAATGATTTCAAATTTTTCTGTTTCATCTGCCCCATACACAAGCGAGTATTTCATATCAGAATTGCCGCAACGGACTTTCATTGGAATCCTTTTACCTGTTGGTCAATCCGGCAAGCAGAAAATGATAGGAAGGCCAAAAATTGCCACTTTCGCATACATGAAACATGACTAAAATTTAATCAAAGTTCCTCCGCGAAAACGACGGAATCCCTGAAATGAATTCCGGGCTTCGAACGAAGGGAAGCACCGGGGCTGATCCGGTTCTCGATTAACAGCGCTCTCGTAAAAATTCCAATATCATTCAACGACGGCAACGACGATAACAAATCTTCTATAGAACATCCACGCGAAATCCAGTTCGCGATTTACATCTCTCGGTGCTCTCTTTTTATTAAAAGATCGTAGGGAAAAGGAAAGTTCGTTCCGGCCCATCGATTCCTCACTAATGTCCCCGACGTGAGAACCCGTGACGAGTCGAAAATAGAGAAACCTGGAAATGAGTTAACGACGAACGGTGGATGGTCGCCGCCGTCGTACTGGCCGGCATTCAAATGTCGATCGCAATGAAAGATCGTATTAACAGAATGTGTGCTCGATGGAAAATCAAGAACGGTGGGCAACAAAAGCAGTTCTATCGATCACCGGCTCGATCGATTCTGCCTATCAGGAGCCGTTCGATGAAACCTCAATGGGGGTAGTTACAACCCTCTGAGTCGCTAAAATCCATGAGCTTCCTCCACCCCCCTTCTATTGTACACCTCTTTTACAGACAACTTAGACATCAATCGTTTATTCGAGTCAGTTATCTCGACAGTTATATCGTTATCTCGACACACACACCCAGAATATAATGCGTTTCCCAAATTTATCACGCAGCTGCACGGGATAGCTACTCCGAAATCCACGGGAAGGGTGAGATATGTTTCTGGATGGTGGGGGGAGGATGTATTTTTGTTTTACCTCTAAGCGTGCTATATGTAGGCGTGTGCGTGATGGAAATGTCGCGTATCTTTTCCCATTGTTCCCCATTGTATCCCATTTGATTTACATATCTTCCCGTCCACGCGGTGACGCGCCTGTCGTTTCGGAGGATGGAAACGCTGTTATCGTGTGTTACATCCGGTTAGGAATATTACCTCTTTTCATTGCATATTTTTCTCCTATTACTTCGCAACGCGAAGAGCGAGCGAAAATCGTCAAATCAGCGGCACGTGGAAGCAACGGGCGAGGTTGTCCTTCTTCGAAACGCTGACAGAAACGTCAGCGATCTTAAACTCCGCCGCGACGAACGATAGTTGGTTGCTACCCAATAGCTCCCACGTTCTTCGATAAATGAGGGGGGGGGGGGAAACATTATAAAACGTTTGTCCTAACCGGGCAAGCCTCGCTTGTACCTGGGCTCTTGTACTTCTCATCTTTTCCTCAGTTAACCTCACGGTTTCGACTCACGCGTTAGACGTTGCTTCGTCTACTTTTCTTCACGCGTAACGGCGAGCTGAGCGACAGCGGTCACTCAGCTGTTCAGAATCGGGTTCCGAGACGATATCTCTTCCGTGTGCGACGCGACTTTGCGATTACGCGCGGCCTAACAGGCGAGTTCGATAAGACACCGGACCGCGAGTGCGACGTCCGAGACGGTGACAACGTATCCCGCAGTGCCCGACCCCTGCATCACGGCTCCGAGCGCTAGCAAGTATTCCGCCCCTTCAAGGACCCGAAACCCCGACTGAACCAGCCGCACGCGCTAATCATTCATCATCATTGGTATGTTAAGATTTAATTGTATATTTTATTGTATTCATTGTTAGAATATATCTTGTTGTTGTTATAAACGAGAGTGATTTCCTATCCCTCCCGTTCCATATCCTACTTACGTACATCACCGGTAAGTTTATACAGGTCGTGCTTTAGCACCTTAAAAGAGCCAGGACCCGAAAATATAAATAAAGTAACGACCGCAACGCGGGACGTAACAAATAGGTGTCAGAAGTGGGATCCTTTGATCGAAATATCGAAACCAAAATCTTAGCTTTCGTAATCTAACATTTATTTCGATCACGGCTCGTAACCTACCTAAGCTTTTCGCTGACACAGAACGCTTACTGTCTCACATATCAAACCATAACCTGCCACAAGATGATGGGCCACTCCCCGCAACGCGAAACCAGCCGTCCCCTCGCAACTCCACCTCCCTTACCAACAATAGCACCGACCTTCGCTCAATCTCACGCTGGAAACGCAAATGAATTCCAGAGTACACTTTATCGCTCACGCATCGACGATCTTGATCATGTCTATCGCACGTTAGACGCTATTCCCGTCTTCGACTCTAGATATGTTCCTATTGAACAATTCATTCGAACAGTAAATAATCTGTATCCACGAATTCCGAGTGAATACGAGGAGCAATTTCTGACGGGATTAACTTGCAAACTGACCGATCGAGATCGTTACTTCATAAGAGAAGAAAATTGTAGAACCGTTAGCCAATTTCTTCGTATTTTGCGAGATCGATATTCGCCTTGTCGATCGTACCAGGCAATCTTGTACGATCTACAACGTGTATATATGTCCCCTAACGAACCACTGACCGAATACGTAGACAGAGTCGTTAGGTTAATAGAAGGAGCTACCGCAAGTGCTAGGGACGAAGGGGAAGATTTTTATAATAAAAAGGCAAAGGAATTAAACAGTACCGCTATAAGCTCGTTCATCACCGGTTTACCCCCGCATTACGCACATCGAGTATCTTTGAACCATCCTGATACACTGAATCAGGCAATTAATGAAGCATTCAAAGCCGCAAAATTATTTGGCGTCGAAAATTTTGCACACGCGCCTTATGCGCAACCACCTTACTCGTATGCACCTCAGGCTCGTCCTCCCACCCCTTACGATGTAAATCGCAGATGGACGGAATGGCGAGAGCCCCGCGATGAACCAGATTACGAATTACCTCGTACCGCGTATACAGCACACAATTCCTCCCCTCCGGAGAGAGTCGCGCAAAACCCAGATTCCACACCTACCGTAGGATGCCAATGTAATTGTCAATGCAAGGGCAGGCGTCGTCGAGATAAGCCTCGATATAATACGCGAATGAAACGCGAATCTTCCTCTGACCGCCGCGAGCCTTTAAACTACAACCGCGCCCGCTCTCAGGAGAGGAGCGAAGCGGGCGCGTCAGCCTCGTCAACTCTGAAGAATCGGGTCTTCCAATCGAACAAGAAACCTCCTTTCTCGCACATGCACCGTGCCCCCGAATCAAGATCAAGGCCAAACAATTGGAAGACGGCGAAGGCGAATTTCTAGTATACTCTGGCGCTGTATTAAATTTAATCACCATAGAAGCAATTCACCCTAATGCACCAATAGTCAATAAAGACGAAATTTCTGTAAAGGGCCTCAATGGATGGATTACCACCTTGGGAGCCACTTGTATGAAAGTTAACGGAAGTTGGGCACTATTCTATGTTGTTGATACACCGGACTTGCCAAAGGGAATATGCGGTTTAATTGGCAGTTGATACCTTCTTCAAGAAGAGGCCGAAGTATCATACCATTATCGCACACTAGTAACGGCAAAACGACCAATACATCCCGTTCCATTTTGAAACTCAAAGGAATTAGGAAAGGTACTGGCTCTACATCAACAAAATCAAGAAACTCTTCAAATTTACCTCGCGCAACATCCAGAACTGGATAGCGAAGAACCGGACCAACCTCCACAGCTCGATGACATTTCCGAGAATAACTTACCTCCTCCTTCTGAGGAAACTCTTTTCGCGCATGAAGATGACGATTTGGGGGAATACGAAGTCTTGCCCACGTCGGTTACAGAACGATTAGCTACAATCCGAAAGACGTTGAAGCTCGAACAATTAAGCGACGAATCACGCGCAATAGTCGAACGCTCCGTCCAGAATTACGCGGACAGATTTTTCGTTCCCGGCGACCCACTGGCAAGAACCGACACGACGGCACACACCATCTTAACCACGGATGAGACTCCCGTCTTCACTCGGCAGTACCCCTTTCCACCCATGCAAGAAGAGGAAGTGAGGAAACAGGTCCGCAATTTGGAAAATTTAGGCATTATAGTTCCATCGAAGTCACCTTATAATTCTCCGCTTTGGGTCGTTCCGAAGAAAGCTGACTCGAAAGGAAATAAGCGATGGCGAATGGTAGTCGATTTCCGTAAATTAAACGAAAAAACGGTGGATGACAAGTACCCCCTCCCGAGGATCACCGATATTCTGGACCGGTTGGGCGGCGCACGATACTTCTCGGTGTTTGATTTAGCAAACGGATTCCATCAGATACCTATGGCAAAAGAAGATCGAAGTAAAACCGCTTTCTCCACTCCCGAGGGTCATTACGAATTTGTACGCATGCCATTCGGTTTAAAAAATGCCCCAGCTACTTTCCAACGGCTAATGAACGAGGTACTCAAAGGTCTGATCGGCAAGGAACTATACGTATACTTGGATGACGTCATCGTATACTCCGACACTCTCAAAGAACACGGCCGCCGACTAAGCAAGTTTTTCGAACGTCTTAGCAAACATAATCTCACCTTGCAAACGGACAAAGCCCATTTTCTAAAACACGAAGTCGCGTATTTAGGTCATATTATTTCGGCAGAAGGTGTAAGACCGAA